GAGCTTCATCCCGTGCCTTCTGAAGGTCAAAGTATTCCAGTGGGATAGAAGAAGCATAATAACACCCATTTGTTTTCAGTTGGTGGCTTGCAAACTGTGATTTGGGTGATATTTGTTGGCTGTCATTTGAAGATAGGGAGTGAATAAAAATAGATGCATCCTTAGTGCCTTTCCCAAGGCTTAGTTCTCTCAATAGTTTTGAATGTGGGGCACTTGCCTTGGAATTTGGAGGGCACCACACCTTGGGAAAGAGACTAAGGATGAATCTATACTATAGAATTAATACTGTCTGACACCACTTTAATTGCCATGGTTCAATGCTATGGAATCTTGGAGGTTGTGATTTTAGATGATCTTTAGACTTCTCTTCCTAAGGAGTGTTGGTGCCTCCTTTCTATTGGAACACAAAGTGGCACGATCCCCAAAACTGCATCTCCAAAATGAACCTTCTACTGAACCTGTTTCTTGATATCTCAGATCTGGCCTTGGCGATATATACATGCCATTCGGATTATTGCAATATGCTTACTATGGAATAGCCTTTGGAAACTGTTCCAATATTACAATGTGTCCAAAATGCTGTGTACAAACTGTTGACTGAAGCTAGTTAACGGGAACATGTAACTCAGTCTTTGAAACAATTTAACTAGGTATAATTTGTTTTCAGGCACAAAGTACAGCTTATGACCATTAAAGTCCTATATGGGTTTGGCTTTCCAGATGTTTTGAACTTCCGCTCCCATCAATTCCTGACTGTTGGCCAAGCTGAGTAGGTCTTTTGGACGGTGACGCCCAAAACAACTAGAGGACTAGTGTTTAAGAACCACTGATTTAGACTATATTCCAGGTTGAGCCTATTGAATTTAAGATCCTAGATGTTGTCTTGGGCCCCTTCCACACAGCTGTATAAAATCCACATTGAACTGGATTATATGACATGCAACTCTACTACTCTTTTCCACCTAATTCCAAGGAAGCCCCTCAGGTGCTGGTCGAGTGCCTGGCCACTGTGGCTGTCTGGATGAGGACGAACAAGCTGAGGATTAATCCCGACAAGACAGAGGTCCTCTTGGTCGATCGTAAACCAGATCAGGGCATAGGGTGGCAACCTGTGTTGGACAGGGTTGCACTCCCTCTGAAGTCACAGGTCTGCCGTTTGGGTGTCCTCCTGGACTCATCACTTACGCGTGAAGCTCAGGTGTTGGCGGTGGCCGGGAGGGCCTTTGCACAACTAAGACTCGTGCTCCAACTGCGACCATACCTCGTGAAGGCAGATCTAGCCAGGGTAGTCCATGCCTTAGTCACCTCCATATTGGATTACTGTAATGCTCTCTACGTGAGGCTACCCTTGAAAATGGCCCAGAAATTTCAACTAGTCCAACGGGCGGCAGCCAGGTTGTTAACTGGTGCCCCTTACAGGGAGAGGTCAACCCTCCTGTATAAGGAGCTCCATTGGCTGCCGTTCATTTACCGGTCCCAATTCAAGGTGCAGGTGCTTACCTACAAAGCCCTAAACGGTTTGGGACCTGCCTAACTGCGTGACCGCATCTCTGTATACGAACCCACACGATCTCTTCATTCATCTGGAGAGGCCCTGTTCACGATCCCACCTGCATCGCAAGCGCGATTGGTGGGGATGAGGGATAGGGCCTTCTCAGTGGTGGCCCCTTGACTCTGGAACTCGCTCGCAAGGATATTAGACATGCACCAACTCTGGCAGTCTTTAAGAGGAGCCTGAAAATGTGGTTGTTCCAGTGTGCCTTCCCAGAATAAGGAACCCTAAGCAACATGTCCCTAATCGCACTTTACTAATGATCTAGGATTGTCTGGTCGCCCCATTTCTCTCCAAATACCCATCCTAGTCATATGTCACCTTGTCATGCCCAGTATTTTAAAATTTTAATTATTACATTTGGCCCTGCCATATGTTTTTAATGCCTTGTGGTGTTATTGTTATTGTTTATTGCTTTGTTTATGAGTTTTTTACTGTCTGTATTGCTGTGTTGTTTTATTGATGTAATCAGGCTCGGCCTCTTGTAAGCCACACCCTGGTATTAGAGCAGTGTTTCTCAACCTGGGGGTCGGGACCCCTGGGGGGTGTCAGAGGGGTCACCAAAGACCACCAGAAAACACAGTATTTTCTGTTGGCTGTGGAGGTTCTATGTGGGAAGTTTGGCCCAATTCAGTCATTGGTAGGGTTCAGAATGCTCTTTGATTGTAAGTGAACTATAAATCCTAGCAACTACAACTCCCAAATGTCAAGGTCTATTTTCCCCAAACTCCACCAGTGTTTACCTTTGGGCATATTGAGAATTTGTGCCAATTTTGGTCACAGTGCTCTCTGGATGTAGGTGAACTACAACTCCCAAAACTCAAGGTCAGTGCTCACCAAACCCTTCCAGTATTTTCTATTGGTCATGGGAGTTCTGTGTGCCAAGTTTGATTCAATTCCATCATTGGTGGAGTTCAGAATGCGCTTTGATTGTAGGTGAACTATAAATCCCATCAATTCCAACTCCCAAATGACAAAATCAATACCCTCCCCAATCCCACCAGTATTCAAATTTGAGTGTATTGGGTATTTGTGCCAAATTTGATCCAGTGTATAAAAATACATCCTGCATATCAGATATTTACATTACTATTCATAACAGCAGCAAAATGACAGTTATGAAGTAGTAATTGAACTAATTTTATGGTTGGGGGTCACCACAACATGAGGAAGCGTATTAAGGGGTCGTGGCATTAGGAAGGTGGAGAACCACTGTATTAGAGTCTGATCCAGCCAATCTCATCTTATGTTTTCAAGTGAGGAGAGAAAAGTAAGAGGTGAAAAAAGCAAAGCAGAGGAGGCAGTCTTGGCAAACTTTTTGGTTCTCGCTCGGCACGTTCTTGCCCTCGTTCATCGCTTGTGTTCCTCACTCTTGTCAACACTTGATTTGTTACTCAAGCACCTCTGAGATCCTCAGTGTCCTCATAACCCAGCAGCATGAAGTGTTTTGAGTGTCCCACTGTGCTTTACTGTCAAATGTGGGTGGTAAAAAACACATTAAAACACTTGCAGACGTGGGTGGTGTCCTGCAGTTGCATCACGAGTGGGTGGCCAGCTGGGGTGTTTCTGCTAACTTCAGATCCATTTCTGTTCAAGCCTCTCCTCTCTTTCCCAGAAATGCTACTTAACATGAGTTATGTTATTCTAAAAAGCTGTCTCAAGTTTGTAAACAAATGTTCTTCCCTCTTGCTGAGTGAAGAATAGTTTGACCCACAGTGAAAATTTCATTCCTGTTCAGTCTCTTCATTGGGTGCACCAAATTCAGAGAAACATCTAGATTTCTGGGTTGCTGTAGGTTTTTATCGGACTATATGGCCATGTTCTAAAGGCATTATCTCCTCATGTTTCGCTTGCATCTATGGCAAGCATCCTCAGAGGTAGTGAGGTCTGTTGGAACTAGGAAAATGGGTTTATATGTCTGTGGAATGACCAGGGTGGGACAAAGAACTCTTGTCTGTTGGAGCTAGGTGTGAATGTTTCAACTGACCACCTTTATTAGCATTTAATGGCTTGGAAGTGTCTGGGGGAATCTTTCTTTGAGAGGTGATTTGATGTGCCTGATTGTTTACTCTCTGTTGTTTTGCTGTTGTAATTTTTGAGTTTTTTTAATACTGGTACCCAGATTTTGTTCATTTTCATGATTACGTACTTTCTGTTGAAATTGTCCTCATGCTTGTGGATTTCAATGGCTTCTCTGTGTAGTCTGACATGGTGGTTGTTGGTGTGGTCCAGCATTTCTGTGTTCTCAAATAAAATGCTGTGTCCAGGTTGGTTCATCAGGTGCTCTGCTATGGCTGATTTCTCTGGTTGAAGTAGTCTGCAGTGCCTTTCATGCTCCTTTGGGGGGGGGGGTTAAGGGTGAGAAGGATGGGATATAAATGTGTGAAATAATAATAATAATAATAATAATAATAATAATAATAATAATAATAATAATGGGTTGTTGTAGTTTTTTCGGGCTGTATAGCCATGCTCTAGAAGTATTCTCTCTAGAGAGAATGCTTCTAGAACTTGGCCATACATCCAGAAAAACCTACAACAACCCAGTGATTCTGGCCATGAAAGTTTTTGACAATACAACAACGATGATGATGGTGGTGATGATGATTATGATGCAATCCCAGGCGACAGCAGGATTGAAGAGAAACAACTGGAAAAGCTGATACGATATGAGGATTTAAAGATCAAACTGCAAAGATTCAGGCACAAGCCAGTCAAGGTGGTCCCAGTGGTCCTGGGCACACTGGGTGCAGTGCCTAAAGACCTTGGCCTGCACTTAAACACAATTGGCGCTGAGAAAACTGCCATATGCCAGCTGCAAAAGGCCACCTTACTCCAATTGGTGCGCATTATTGGCCGATACATCACACAGTCCTAGACACTTGGGAAGTGTCCGACGTGTGATCCAGTACAGCAGCCAGCAGAATGACTGCTGTGGACACATCTTGTTGTGTTTCAAATAATAGTAGTAGTAGTAAAGTGGTCCCAGTGGTGATTGGCATACTGGGTGCAGTGCCTAAAGACCTTGGCCTGCACTTAAACACAATCAGCACTGACAAAATTACCATCTGCTAAGCTGCAGAAGGCCACCTTACTGGGATCTGCACGCATTATTTGCCAATACATCACACAGTCCTAGACACTTGGGAAGTGTCCGATGTGTGATCCAGTACAGCAGCCAGCAGAGTGTCTGCTGTGGTCTCATCTTGTTGTGTTTCAAATAATAATAATAATAATAATAATAATAATAATAATAATAATAATGTGTTTTTTGGTACGAAAACTATGGATCTCTCCAACCCTCCTTCACCAAACAACAACAACAACAACAACAACGTTTTCTATAGGAGTAAGTTGCAGTAATCTATTCAGGATGTAACCAGAGCATGGACCACCGTGGATCCTTGTACCAGAGGGATCTTAACTGATCTCTTCTTGATTTTCATAGGATACCGAATCTTTGCTGTAGAGCTGATATCCACCAACCCAAATCCTGTTGTGCAGGAGTTTCAGCGTAAGTATTGTTGTGGTTTGACCACTTAACTAAAACTTTCGATGAGCAGGGTTCAAACACTTGCATGCCATGGAAAGAAGTCCACACATTACCTTGGGAAAGTTTATGATATAATAATACAATGTTATTGTTGCCTGCCATAGCATTGCACTTAATTCCCGGGCCCCCTAGGATTTTTGGGCTTGCACAAATCTTGGCCCGGCCTTTTAAATTTTTTTAATTGCCTTGAACAGTCAGGATTACTTTTAATATATGTGTGTTATGGCGACAATTTTTATGCTTATATTTTGTTTGTTAATCTCATGGTTATGTTGTTTTTACTCTGTATGTTTTGTGATGTTACCTGGGAACCGCTCTGAGTCCCCTCGGGGAGATGGAGCGGCATATAAATAAAGTTTTATTATTATTATATTATTATGAAGCAATGCAGTTTCTCTCTCTCTCTCTCTCTCTGCTTGGGAGGTTTTGAGAAGGCAAGGCAACACTTTCTTTGGAGAAACCGCTCCTTTAAAGAAGCGGTTTCCCTTGAGAAAACCCAAGATCTCCCTTCTCACTCTCTGTGTTCCTGCTGCAGGTGCTGAACTTTCCTGCATCATTGCCACCACCAAGACAGCCAACCCTAGAATTGAGTGGAAGAAGATTGGCAGCAAGGAAACCACCTATGTGTTCTTCGACAACAAGATGCAGGGTATGAAGTGGTGTGGCTTTGGAGTGCAGAAAGCCTTGCAGGTTGCATTATTTTGTAAGTGGGCAGGATCGACACAATCCTCACCTTTCCACACTTCTGTTCCATGTTTCTCTAGGAGATTGGGCGAACCGTGCCCAGCTCAACAGCAGAACGTCGCTGGTCATCTCCAACGTGACCCGGGCAGATAAAGGGATCTACCGGTGTGAAGTGGTGGCACCTGAGGATGCACGAATTGGAGCAGAGATTAATATCAACCTGACAGTTCACGGTGCGTGCTCATACATCCTCCCTTTAAGCTGGCAAGGGCTAGAGCTAGTATCTGGCCATCCTTTTCACTACACTTTTTTGCCCAAAGCTAGTAATAATAATAATAACTATTATTATTATTATTATTATTATTATTATTATTATTATTATTATTATTACAGTGGAGCCCCCGGTGGTGCAGTGGGTTAAACCCCTGTGCCGGCAGGACTGAAAACCAACAGGTTGCAGGTTCGAATCCGGGGAGAGGCGGATGAGCTCCCTCTATCAGCTCCAGCTCCTCATGTAGCTAGTATCTGGCCATCCTTTTCACTATGCTTTTTTGTCCAAAACTAGTAATAATAATAATAACTATTATTATTATTATTATTATTATTATCATTATTATTATTATTATGGATCCCCCGGTGGCACAGTGGGTTAAACCCCTGTGCCGGCAGGACTGAAGACCGACAGGTCGCAGGTTCGAATCCGGGGAGAGGCGGATGAACTCCCTCTATCAGCTCCAGCTCCTCATGCGGGGACATGAGAGAAGCCACCCACAAGGATGATAAAAAACCCCAAAAACATCAAATCATCCGGGCGTCCCCTGGGCAACATCCTTGCAGGCGGCCAATTCTCTCACACCAGAAGCGACTTGCAGTTTCTCAAGTCGCTCCTGACACGACCAAAATAATAATAATAATCATCATCATCATCATTATCATCATCTTTATTTATACCCCGTCACCATCTCCCCGATGAGGACTCAGAGCGGCTTACATGAGGCCAAGAACAAACAACAAATTACAATAAAATAAAACCGAAAACACAAACAATAAACAACAACAACAGAATAATATGTAAAGCTAGCATTTATATGTCTGAATTTGCAGAGGATAAACAAAGGTTGTTAAGATGTAGAGAAGATGGGAGTGCAACACATTCTCCCCAACTTGGAGAGGTTTTTTTTTTTTGTAGTGTCAGGAGCGACTTGAAAAACTGCAAGTCGCTTCTGGTGTGAGAGAATTGGACATCTGCAAGGATGTTGCCAAGAGGACACCCAGATGTTTTGATGTTTTTTCTTGTGGGAGGCTTCTCTCATGTCCCTGCATGAGGAGCTGGAGCTGATAGAGGAAGCTCACCCATGCTCTCCCCGGATTTGAACTTGCGACCTTCAGTCCTGCCTTCAGCTTGGAGAGTACACCATAGGACTGTTTTCTATTCATGTACTCCTAAGATAGGGCCGCCCTGATGGTGCAGCAGGTTAAACCATTGAACTGCTGAACTTGCTGACTGAAAGGTCGGCGATTCAAATCTGGGGAGCAGGGTGAGCTCCTGCTGTTTGGCCCAGCTTCTGCCAACCTAAAAGTTCAAAAACATGCAAATGTGAGATGCCGTTTCTGCAGGAAGGTAACAGCACTCCATGCAGTCATGCTGGTCATATGACCTTTGAGGTGACTACGGAGAAAGCTGGCTCTTCAGCTTAGAAATGGAGAGGATCACCAGTCCCAGACTCGGACACGGCTAGACTTAATGTCAGAGGAAACTTTTACCTTTACTTACTCCTAGTAAGTAAATGTAAAATAGAATCCTAGAGTTGGAAGAGACCTCATGGGCCATGCAGTCCCACGCCCTGCCAAGTAGCAGGAAAATTGCATTCAAAGCACCCCCAACAGATGGTTATCCAGCCTCTGTTTAAAAGCCTCCAAAGAAGGAGCCTCCACCACACTCCAGACAGAGAGTTCCACTGCTGAACAGCTCTCACAGTCAGGAAGTTCTTCCTAATGTTCAGATGGAATCTCCTTTCTTGTAGTTTGAAGCCATTGTTCTGTGTCCTAGTCTTCAGGGCAGCAGAAAACAAGCTTGCTCCCTCCTCCCTATGACTTCCTCTCACATATTTACATATGGCCCTCATCATGTCTCCTCTCAGTCTTCTCTTCTTCAGGGTCACTGATCATTTTGGTTGCCCTCCTCTAGACACATTCCAGCTTGTCAATATCTCTCTTCAGTTGTGGTGCCCAGAATTGGACACAATATTCCAGGTGTGGTCTAAGCACCGGGATTGTGGCGCAGCTGGCTGAGTGTCAGCTGCATTAAGATCACTCTGACCAAAAGGTCATGAGTTCAAAGCCAGCCCGGGCTGGAGTGGGTGTCCAGCCATTGTGTAGCCCGTTGTCGACCTTTGCAACCCGAAAGACAGTTGCATCTGTCAAGTAGGAAAATAAGGTACCACCTTGTGTGGGAGGCTAAATTTAACTAATTTATGAGGCCATAAAGAAAAAAGACTCCGGGGAATGTGGAATGCGGAAGAACTTCATCGGTGTCGTTGATGGACGATGAAAAGCAGCAGCTCCCCTGGCGGCCAGAAAAAAAAAAGTTAAATAGCCTCGGTGTATTTGTCTGTTAAATGTTGTTTGTCAAACTGGCATTGAATGTTTGCCATATATGTGTTTACTGTAATCCACCCTGAGTCCCCTGCGGGGTGAGAAGGGCGGAATATAAGAACTGTAAATAAATATAAGAACTGTAAAATAACTGAGGCAGAATAGAGCATGGGTAGCATGACTTCCCTGGATCTAGACACTAGACTCCTATTGATGCAGGCCAAAATCCCATTGACTTTTGTTGCCGCCGCATCCCATTGTTGGCTCATGTTTAACTTGTTGTCCACGAGGACCCCAAGATCATTTCCCCTGAATTTTGGCTTCTTGAGTCGTATAGTCGTCATGGTTTTTAGCTAATGGTTAACAAGCCAGCTTCCAAAAACATAGTTTCTCCTGAAACTGATCAGAGTTTGTTATGAACTATAATTTCTAATGATACAACATGCCAAGATTTGAGCACTAAAATACTGCTCGATCCAGTGATATCTGGAGGGCTGCAGTGCCTCCACTTATCGCCTAAGGGATACCAAGACAAATGCCAGGTGATGGAGTGGTTTCAAAGGCATTGATATATTCACCCCAGTTGCAACTCATTATATTAGAGTGGCAGTATATTTGGGATATAGCTTACGTAATGGGCTTCTGCTTCCCCAACAGTGAAACCAGTGCCCCCAAAGTGCCACGTGCCCCAATCTGTGCCTGTGGGCAAATCCGCCACCCTCCAGTGCCAGGAAAAGGAAGGCTTCCCAGAGCCGACATACAACTGGTACCACAATGGCGAAGCTTTGCCGCTCGACTCTAAATCCAGCTCCAAATTCCAGAACTCCTCCTTCACGGTGAACACAAAGACAGGCACGTTGGTAAGTACGCTGTGGCAGTCAAGAGTTGTTTTACAATGCAGTTCCTCATATCCTGTCTTGAATTAATGGTATTAATAAGACATGGCTATTTGAGCAGGCAATTGAAAATACGGAGTAACTGATATAATAATGGAATAACTATATGGCGGATCTGGACATTGTTGAATGATTATTGATTGAAGTATGTTTCATTATAATGTTTGATTTTATTGTTGCTGATGTTTTTTATATTATATATTGTAATTGTGTCCTTGGTGGCATTGAATTCTTGCCTTGTAAACCGCCTCGAGTCGCCAGAAGGCTGAGAGGGCGGTATAGAAATGTACCAATAAATAAATAAATAGTATTTGAAGGCACACAAGCAGCATATATGGGTTAAACTACTAAACTGCGGAACTTGCTGACCAAAAGGTCAGTGGTTCAAATTTAGGGAGCGGGGTGAGCTTCCAGTGTTAGCCCCAGCTTCTGCCAACCTAGTAGTTCAACAACATGCAAATGTGCGTAGATCAATAGGTACTGCTTTTGCGAGAAGTTAACGGCACTCCATGCAATCATGCCGGCCACATGACCTTGGAGGTGTCTACGGACAACGCCAGCTACAATAAAACATTAATATAAATTACTTTTAAAAGCATGCAAAATACATTAAAATGGAATTAAACTATCCACGGTATTAAACACATTTATACTTAAAAATGGACTTACAAAATCAAAAACAGTAAAACAAAACATGGCTTTCTGACTATTTTTTAAAAACCTGTTGGGATTGGCTTTGTCAAAACGATACAAGGAAAGGAGTTACTTCTTGGTAGCAAAACAAAAAAATTGTTCAGCCTTGGCAGTGGAAATTTGCTTTGCTTCTCATAGTGACAGAATGGTTGTTTAAAGTTTTGGAAATTGCATAAATGGATGCACTACCATCCTGGAAGTAAAGGGAGGTGTTCAATGCAGAAAGTATTTTTTTTTTAATTTCCTGAAATTGGTACCTTTTGTTACATACTGGAATTATGCTGTCACGCTGCAAAAACGGACATCCTTTTATTTATGCAAGGTAGTCATTCCAGTGTAAAATAAACATTCAAATGAAAGAAGATTTTCCTCCAAATTCACTGAGTTAGTTTGGCTAGAACCCTGAGATTCACCGATAGGCTCCAGATGTAAAAGACATACATTCGGAATCACAAGGTAAACAAAGAAAAAACTAAGAATTTGTCGAGAATTAGAATGCATTATGGGAGTCTAAGGCCCCTGGTGGCGCAGTGCATTAAAGCACTGAGCTGCTAAACTTGCTGACTGAAAGGTTGGCGATTTGAATCTGGGGAGCAGGGTGAGCTCCCGCTGTTAGCCCCAGCTTCTGCCAACCTAGCAGCTCAAAAACATGCAAATATGAGTAGATCAATAGGTATTGCTCCGGGAAAGTAATAGCGCTCCATGCAGTCATGCCGGCCACATGACCTTGGAGGTGTCTACAGACAACGCCAGCTCTTTGGCTTAGAAATGGAGATGAGCACCAACCTCCAGAGTCAGACACAACTGGACTTAATGTCAAGGGAAAACATTTACCTTTAGTCTATCTGGTGAATTGACCAATATGGCTATCCTGAAATTCCAATGAATTCTGAGCTCAGAAAATAATAATAATAATAATAATAATAATAATAATAATAATAATAATAATAATTTATTTTAAACATTTATATTCCACCCTGCAGGGGATTCAGAGTGGAGCACAACATATATATGGCAAACATTCAATGCTGGGACATAAAACCAAAAATATATACAAACATTAACATAATAATAATAATAATAATAATAATAATAATAATAATAATAATAATTATAATAATAATAATTTAGCATTTCTGCATCTGTGAGATTGCTTCTAAGGAGGTTACAATCTATTATTCAGTGCAGTGAGGAAGCAGCAGAGGAAGGAGAGAGTGGGAGATAGCATAAAGGCAACAAGAATATATATACGTATATATTATTATTATTATTATTATTATTATTATTCAATAAGAACCATAAGTGTTGGAAGAGACCCAAAGGGCCATCCTTGCCAACCCCTTTCTGCCATGCAGGAAAAGTACAATCAAAGCACCCCTGACAGATGGCCATCCAGCCTCTGTTTAAAAGCCTCCAAAGAAGGAGCTTCCACCACACTCTGAGGCAGAGAGTTCCACTGTTGAACAGCTCTTCTTATGGTCTTATTCTTCCAAATAGGTGGAATCTTCTTCCCTATCATTTGAATGGCTCCATTGAGTCCTAGTCTCCAGGTCAGCAGAAAACAAACCTGATTCCTGGGTTGTTGTAGGTTTTTTCGGGCTATTTCGCCATGTTCTAGAGGCATTCTCTCCTGACGTTTCTCCTGCATCTATGGCAAGCATCCTCAGAGGTTATGAGACCTCAAAACCTCTGAGGATGCTTGCATAGATGCAGGCAAAATGTCAGGAGAGAATGCCTCTAGAACATGGCCATATAGCCAAAAAAAAAAAAACCTACAACAACCCAGTGATTCCGACCATGAAAGCCTTCGACAATACATTAAATCTGATTCCTCTTCCTTATGACATCTTTTCCCGTTATTGAAACACGGCCATCATGTCTCCTCTCAACCTTCTCTTCTGCAGAATAAAGACACAGCTCTTTAAGCCACTCCTCAGAGGGATTAATGGTTTCCAGACCTTTGATCTCCCCCTCTTGTCAATATGCCTCTTGAATCTTGGTGCCCAGAATTGAGTGTTTCCTCTACAGAAAAGGAACATGTCATGAAAAAGGCTAGGCATAAACCACGTCCCAGTGTGGTGGACACAAGATATTCTGAACACTTGTGAAGATGTTGTATAAATGCCACAATCTTCATTCATGCAGGTCTTTAGCGAAGTGCAGAAAGGAGACACGGGCCGTTACAGCTGCCGGGCAATGAATGCCGTCGGTGATGCTTGGTGCGAAGACTCTGTGATGGAAGTTTGTGAGTACTGTTTCTTGGAGGAGAGCTACAATATATTCATGGGGATGGGGGTCAGGGCCATTCTTCCCTGAGGACAGATCTCCTCTTTGGGTTAGAGTTGCAAGAGATTGTCTGCAGGTAATTGGAGAGAAAGCCTTGTTGACCCAAAGAGGTTCATTTTCCTTCCTCCAGATGACTTGAACATTGCAGGGATTGTTGGAGGCATCTTGGTGGTCCTCTTGGTCCTGTCTCTAACCGCTTTGGGAATCTGCTGCGCCTACAGGAAGGGCTTCTTTGTCAACAACAAGCAGGATGGAAACAGGTGAGCCTCAGCAAGCAGCTCTGCAGTGAACACCAGATCCTATCATTCATAAGTAGGATCAATACACCCTCCATATGGTTTAGGACTGCAGTTCCCATCTGCCCTAAATTTACACAGCCAGTGGTGAGGAATATTGGGCAGAGTTTAGGTCTGGATTCATGCCCAGTGATAGTAATGTTGGACTATGATGCAGGGGACTGGGAATACTGGGAATTTGCTAGAACGTCTGCAGAGTTGCATGTTTCCTCCTCGGAAGCAATTTGTATGTGTACTTAAGGATTGGATTGGCTGTGAACGTAACTTTAGTGTTGTGTGTTTGAGTTGTTTTTGACTTATAGTAATCCCAAGGGCATCCTATCATAGGATTGTTGTAGGTTTTTCGGGCTATATGGCCACGTTCTGCGTCACAGGCGCGTTTGGTGGGGATGAGGGACAGGGCCTTCTCTGTGGTGCCCCCCCGACTCTGGAACTCTCTCCCCAAGGACATCAGACAAGCCCCAATGCTGGCTGTCTTTAGGAAGAGCCTGAAGACCTGGCTGTTCCAGTGTGCCTTTCCAGAATAGGAACCTCCTGGCATCAAGTCCCAAATGCACTTTGTTAGAGATTCAGGATTATTTGCACATTGCACCTACCTCCAAATACCTCTACATATCACTTGTCAAGTCTAGCACTTTTAAATTTTGTCTATTACATTTGGCCTTGGTTTTAAATGCATCACTGTGTCATTGTTTTTTATTGTTCTAATGCTTTGCTTGATGTTTTTATTTGCTTATGACTTTTATTGTGTATGTGTATGTTATTGTTTGTTGGCGGCCTTGGCCTTTGTAAGCCGCATCGAGTCCTTCGGGAGATTTTGCGGGGTATAAATAAAGATAATAATAATAATAATAATAATAATAATAATAATAATAATAATAGAAGCATTTTCTCCTGACGTTTCACCTGCATCTATGGCAGGCATCCTCAGAGGATTGTTGGAAAGTAGGAAAATAAGGTTTATATATCTGTGGAATGTCCAGGGTGGGAGAAAGAACTCTTGTCTGTTTGAGGCAAGTGTGAATGCTGCAACCGGCCACCCTGATTAGCATTTAATGGCCTTGCATCTTCAAGGTGTGGCTTCTACTTTCAAGGTGGCCAGTTGCAACATTTACACTTGCCACAAACAGACAAGAGTTCTTTCTCCCACCCTGGACATTCCACAGATATATAAACCCCATTTTCCTACTTTCCAACAGTCCTCACAACCTCTGAGGATGCCTGCCATAGATGCAGGCAAAATATCAGGAGAGAATGCTTCTAGAACAGTGGTTCTCAACCTGGGATCCCCAGATGTTTTTGGCCTACAACTCCCAGAAATCCCAGCCAGTTTACCAGCTGTTAGGAGTTCTGGGAGTTGAAGGCCAAAAACATCTGGGGACCCCAGGTTGAGAACCACTGTTATAGAACATGGCCATACAGCCCGAAAGACCTACAACAACCCAGTGATTCCAGCCGTGAAAGCCTTCGACAATACATCCTATCATAGTTTGTTGTTGTTGTTGTTGTTGAGATAGTGTTTTCTTTGCTTTCCTCTGAGGCTGTTTTGGCTTGTTTATAGCCTATTAGGAATTCTAATAATAATAATAATAATAATAATAATAATAATAATAATAATAATAATAATAATCTTTATTTATACCCCACCACCATCTCCCCAATGGGGACTCGGGGCGGCTTACATGAGGCCAAGCCCGGACAACATATTACAGCAAGATAAAACCAAAACATAAGCAACAAGCAACAGCATCAAAGTTAAATTAAGAAGAAAAAGCAATTTTGGTCCAACATTACTATCACCATTGTGGTCCAACATTACTATCACCACGCATGAATCCCAACCTAAACTCCTGCATTTCTGCCTGCCATGCTCACTTTTGCATCTACATTGCCTGCTCTGGATGAAGGGAAATGACTCTGCCTTCCTCTGACCATCTGCCGCAATGAGTTGACCCATGGGAGCAGATAGTACAAAATTAGCCACAACAGGAATTGACACCATAGGAAAAGGAAGACACGGGGGCATCGGCTGGAAGCAGATATCCCATTTGTCAGGAATCTCTCTCTTCTGTCCCATTTGTCAGGAATCTCTCTCTTCTTACCAGTTTAAATTTCCCTTCACTCTTTTTCAGCCAAGAGGCCAAGACTTTTTGATTTAGGCAGGACCTTTTGGCTGATGTGGTCTATCCAATGCAATTTTTTTAATCAGCACCCCAAATAACCAAGCCGAATCTAAACTGATTCGTAACCCTTTTGGTACTAATGCTGGAATGTGTTCCCTAATAAAAAGAAGTCTTTTAATGGGACTGGAGAAAAGCAGAATGTTAAATAGCCAACCAAACGAATAACCCAGTCATGCAACGAGTAAAACCCTTGTGCCGGCAGGACTGAAGACCAACAGGTTGCAGGTTCAAATCTGGGGAGAGTGCAGATGAGCTCCCTCTGTCAGCTCCAGCTCCCCATGCGGGAACACGAGAGAAACCTCCCACAAGGATGGTAAAACATCAACAAAATCCAGGCATCCCCTGGGCAATGTCCTTGCACATGGCTAATTATCTCACACCAGAAACGACTTGTAGTTTCTCAAGTCACTCCTGACACGAAAAAAAATATGTTTGGAATATCACCTAACCGATCTCAGTGTGGGTGTAATATATAAACCTGATTCTCTAAAAAAAGCTTCACTGTGGGAGAAAAGCTAACATTTTGGAGGTTTTATATTAGTTTCTTTCCCATTTCCTTATTGATCACATCACAGTAATTTCACACTTCTATTCCTTATGAATGATGGTTTTTTCCCTTGAATTTCTGCTTCCAAATAGTCATAAAGTTATCAAGGAAAAATCACTGAACTGATCAAGCAGTATATTCTGAAAAAGGACCAAATTGTCATTTGTGGAGATGGCCAATGGGAGCTTAGGCACCCATAACCTGGTTAATACATTTCTCACTTCTACTATATCAGTGGTTCCAAACCTGTGGTCTGTGGACCACAGGTGGTCCCCAAGAACAGGACCATGGTCCACAGTCTCACCATTAACTACTACACCGTTGCAACGAGAGGGACTGATCTTGTGAAACCCACTTATAGTGCCGAGGCAATGGGGATATTGGGGGGGGGGGAGGCTGACTATCCACGAAAAGTGGGACAGCAAGCCTCCTGACTGCTGCTTCTCCTCCTCTCTTCCCCTGAGCGGAGCCATTCCATGTGGTGCCTGGAAGCGTGGGTGCCTTTGTGTCTTTGTTTTTCATCCTATTCCTGGGGTTATTTAGGGTGCTGATTCACAAAACTGCATTGGATAGACCACATCAGCCTTAGATTATTAAATATTCCACCAGAGGCACAGTGAGTTAAAGCGCTGATCTGCTGAACTTGCTGATCGAAAGGTTCGAATCTGGGGAGCAGCGTGAGCTCCTGCTGTTAGCCCCAGTTTCTGCCAACCTAGCAGTTCGAAAACATGCAAATGTGAGTAGATCAATAAGTACTGCTTGAGTAGGAAGGTAACAGCGCTCCATGCAGTCGTGCCAGCCACATGACCTTGGAGGTGTCTACGGACAATGCTGGCTCTTTGGCTTCGAAATGGAGATGAGCACCAACCCCCAGAGTTGGACATGACAGGACTTAATTTCAGGGGAAAACCTTTACCTTTACTTTTCTGTGGGTGAGCAGATGGTGACTACTAGATGGCATATGTAACTACAGCTGATGTGGTCTATCCAATGCAATTATTTGAATCAGCACTCCAAATACCCAAACCTAATCTAAACTGATTAATAATAATAATAATAATAATAATAATAATAATAATAATAATAATTTATTTATACCCCACCACCATCTCCCCAAAGGACTCGGAGTGGCTTACATGAGGCCAAGCCCAACAACACATCAATAAAACAGGAAAGCAATAAACAAAACAATCCAATGCAATACAAATTAATATAAATCACATATAAACAATAACACACAAGGATTTAAAAACCTATAACCCTTTTGGTACTAATGCTGGAGCGTGTTCCCTAGCCAAAGGGTTCCTTGGTCAAAAAAAAGTTTGGGAACCACTGTACTAAACATTGTTTTCCTTCATTTCAGCTACAAAACTCCGACCAAACCTGATGGCGTGAACTACATCCGCACAGATGAAGAGGTAAGTTGATCCCATCCTGGGAGTTGTAGTTTTGCAAGGAGTTCAGCCTTCTTTGCCAAAGAGGATTGGCTGCCTCACCAAACTATAACTGCCAGCATTCCATAGCATTAAGCCATGGCAGCTAAAGTGCTGTCAAACTGCATTCATTTTACAGTATCAATGCACCAACTGTCAGGAAAAAAGCTGTTTGATCAGCTGTTGAAGACAACTTTCTATGGGGATATATATGGTGTTCTTAGACACCCCATAAAGTACTTTATACTGGCATTATAGACAAAAGTACGAACATTATTATGGCAAAAAAACCAAAACAAAACAGCCTTCAGTTCATCTTGGGTCAAGCAGATGGGAAGAGTACAAAGAGAGAGTCATGGAAAAGAAAAATCTGACCCATATTTTTCTCTGCCTCCATTCCAGGGTGACTTTAGGCACAAGTCTTCCTTTGTGATATGAAGCGGCGAGGACATTTGCAGTTTGCCCACCGGCGAGAAACGGAGCCGTGTGTGGAAGCACTCTTCCTTCTGGAACTCTTTTAAGCAAGAGCAGATGATGGACTTTGTGCACGTGGGATGCAGCCGGCGGACGGGAAGGACCACTACAGAGCACATGCTTGTGCGCAACTCGGTTTTACTACTTCTATTTTTTTTCTTTTTTGGCCAAAGTTGAGCAGCAATTTTTAACAACCAAACTGGTCTCTTCTACCTTAAGGAGGTATCCTGTAGATCACCGTGATCTTCCAGAAGATTTATTTTTCGCCTTTGGCAGGAGAAAGCAAATCTGCAAACGAACATAAGTAACTTCTTCCTGGGACTCTTACTAGTCTTTCCTGCAAAAGGTTGGAGGACTACTTTTTGCGGTCGTTTACAAAAGGGGATAGCTAAACTCAGTAGGGGAAAAAACAGTCTTAGAAACTGAAGTTCTTATTTTGCCTTCCTTCCTTCTTTCCTTTCTGCTTGCTTGCTCCTTCTTTGCTTCCTTCTTTGCTCCCTTCCTTGCTTCCTTTTTGCTCCCTTCTTTACTTCCTTCTTTGCTTCTTTCTTGGTTCCCTTCTTGTCTCCCTTCTTTGCTTCCTTTTTGCTCCCTTCTTGGCTCCCTTCTTTGCTCCTTTCTTTTCTCCTTTCTTTGCTCCCTTCTTTGCTTCCTCCTTTGCTCCCTTCTTTGCTTCCTTCTTGGCTCCCTTCTTGGCTCCCTTTTTGGCTTCCTTCTTTACTTCCTTCTTTGCTTCCTCCTTTGCTCCCTTCTTTGCTCCCTTCTTGGCTTCCTTCTTGGCTCCCTTTTTGGCTCCCTTCTTTGCTTCCTTTTTGCTTCCTTCTTTGCTTCCTTCTTTGCTTCTTTCTTGGCTCCCTTCTTGGCTCCCTTCTTTGCTTCCTTTTTTGCTCCCTTCTTTTGTTTCCTTCTTTGCTCCCTCCTTTGCTTCCTTCTTTGCTCCCTCCTTCGCTTCCTCCTTTGCTTCCTTTTTCGCTCCCTTCTCCGCTCCCTTCTTCACTCCCTTCTTTCCTTCCTTCCTTCCTTCCTTCCTTCCTTCCTTCCTTCCTTCCTTCCTTCCTTCCTTCCTTSCTTCCTTCTTTGCTTCCTTCTTTCCTTCCTTTCTTCCAACATGTTACAATGATAGAATGACACTCTGACATTAAGAAGTAGAATGCTACAACCTGTGAGCAAAAAGTCAAGTAGCCCTGTCTTGTGGCTCATTTGAGATGACAAGTCCAGCAATAACATTAAAAGTGGACGACTTACAGGCATAAAGCCCTAGAAGATACCTTCACCTCCCAAAAAAACCCATTGCAATGACCTATCCTTCACCCCCCAAAAAACCCATTGCAATGACCTATCATTCACCCTCCAAAAATCCCACTTTAATGACCTATCCTTCACCCCCCAAAACCCACTATAATGACCTATCCTTCACCCCCCAAAAAACTTACTCTAATGACCTATCCTTGCCATGCTGCCTTCTTTGTCGCACTCAGCAACACATGGCAGAATTAATATGTCACAGAAGCAGAGTTTAAGTTCCTAGAAGCAAGTCACTTTTGGTGGACTACAACTCCCTTCTGGTCTAATTTAATTGGTAGCAGCCATACTGTTTGGGAGACAGTGTGCAACTTCCAAAAAAGTAACTTCTGTGGGCTCAGACAGTGTATCTGTCTTTGTTGAGCATCTGTATTTAGTAATAAGAAGGGCAAAACTTGGTAGAGATGGTTCCATGGGAGTGATCACATCATCACACTAGAGAAAAAATCCGCTTTAAATCCGGTTTCTGCCTCGGGCAGAATTCTGGGGTTTGTAGTTTAGTGAGGCTGTTAAAGGCTCCTCCCTAAACTACAAACCTCAGAATTCTGCACGAGGCAGAAAATGAATTTTAAGTGGATTGTTTCTCTAGTGTGATGAGGCCTAAAAGATCCAAAGTTTGACTTTTTCTCCAATCCATCCCAGGTCCCTACTGTCAAAACATGATGGTTATGAAACACTGCCATACACTGACATATTCATAATTTCGGCATTTGGTGGCAAAGCTAAACGTTCTAATTTGACAGCGTTCTTACATACATCTGCGTAGACTTGCCCACAGCTCTTCGGAAATTAGAATTGGGAGAGCAAGGCACAAATGCCTTCTTTTCGGTTTGGTGCCAGTTGCCACTCTCTTAAGAGGATGAGCTGGAGTCTCTGCTTCTTTCCTTCGCATCCCTGTCCGCACACAGCGTCCAATCAGCTTTAAGCCCTTGCCAGTCTACGTATCCCAATCTGGGCGATTCCCAAAAGCCAAACTCTTCTGATAAGACAGGGCACAAGATTCCAACACGTTACCGGGATCGAAAAAGTCGGGCTTTTCTACTCTCTCCCCGTTTCTTGTTTTATAAAAATCTGCATCCAATTTCTTCTTTGCAAAGATATATTTTGATTACTTAAGAAAAACAAAGTGGTTAATGTTTCTATTTAAAGTGTAAATACGGTTGGTCGGCCAAACAGTGTTAAGTAACAATGCAGCTATTTTGAAAAAAATTTTTTTTTTTTTTGGTTTAGTGTTTGGTGGTTTTGCTTAATGATGGGGCAAGGCTTCTGGTGCTGAATCAAACCATATCAGTATTGTGAGCGGAGCCCAAAGACACAGAACTGTAGAAATAAGCAAGAAAGCATTCCGTTCCTTGATGGGGGAATATAATGAGGGGGGATGCAGAGAAGAGAGGTGTGTAGAAAATGTGTCATCTGCAGCAGAAGGATTTCTGTCTAAGGCCACACCTATGCTGCAGTATAAAGCAGTTTCAAACTGCATTATATGAATGTAGACCAGGCATGGGCAAACTTCGGCCCTCCAGGTGTTTTGGACTTCAACTCCCACAATTCCTAACAATTCCTTGGCAGGGAAGAGTAAATAGCTCACAAAACTACAGAGAGAGCCTTGTGCCATGGCAGTTAATCTGGTATCAAACTGGTACAACACTGCAGTGTGGATACAGTGCGGGAGCTCTCGCTGAGAAAGATAATGGCCAGATTGAAAGTATTAGATCATCTGCACTGCAGAATTATTGCAGTTTGGCACCACTTGTAACTATCTTAATATCTGGCATTTGTAGTTTGATGTGACACTAGGGCTCCCTGACAGGGAAGGGTAAATAGCTCACAAAACTACAGAGAGAGCCATGGAGGTTAATATGGTATCAAACTGGTACAACTCTGCAGTGTGGATACAATGTGGGAGGCTTTCGCTGATATGTCATAATAAACTGTTTTTGAAATTGTTGGGTGCTTAAAAGTTTACGATAGGCCATATATATATATATATATATATATATATATATATATATACACACACACACACACACACATACATACACACACACACACAAACACACACACACACACATACATATATACACACATATACACAAACATACATATACATATATACACTAATACATATACATACTCACATGTACACAAGCACATGTACACACATACATATATACATATATATACACACAGACACACACATATACACAAACACATACATATACATATACATATATACACACATACATATACATACACACATGTACACAAGCACATACATATAAATATATATATATATATATACAAACACACAAACACATACATATATACACACACATAAACACATACATATATATATATACACACATATACACAAGCACACATACATATACATATATATACACACACACACATATACATGCACACACATATACACAAGCACATACATATATATATATATATACACACACACACACACACATATATACACAAACACATACATATACATATATTCACACACATACATATACATACACACATATACACAAGCATATATATATACACACACACACACCTTCACATCTAAGGTAGTCATTTAAGCCCTTGGATGTGCCTTTCAGACCCTGGCCAAGACATGCACATTTGAAATAGAAAAATACCCATAAGAGAGTGATGAAATTTTACTATGTCTACAGCCAGCTAACATTCTCCTCTTCCTCTCTTACCTCTTTTTTAATGTGTGTTTGCTTCCTCCTTATAAAAATAAATGCAAACTAGAGGGTGATACAGGAGTTCTTACATCTTTTTTTTAATGTGCATCTTTTTCTCCCCTTTGGAATAGCGATGGCAGCTACCAACCCCTTTGGTTGTAAGCAGGTCATTCTGATATTTCTCTTTCTTTCTTTTTTTTCCCCATGTGTGATTTACCCTAAAAGTGTTAAATGGTGCCATTCGGTGCAAGGTACCAAGAACAATTCTTTGCTGTGATGAGAGAGAGTGTGGTTCAGAAGGAACCAATAGCATAGCATCCCTTTTTGCTCCCTTTTCCCTTTTTTTAGTGATTGTGTTTTTCAGCTACGGATTTAACCGTCTTAATTTTGGATGCAGACTGTATTTTTTTTTCCTCTTCTTGTTGTTGCATTCTGGATTTTCTTTTTTTATTATTGTGTTTCTCCTTGTTTGTGTTCTGTATTAATCTGCCTTGGAATATCCAGCAAACTTGTTGTTGTCGTCAAGGGATTTTTTTTTATATAAAGGAGGGTTGAGAGGAGATGTCATTGGTGCATTTCATTTTATTTCTATACAAGGCTCTCAATCCATTTATTTTCAAGTTAAGGTGGCAACGATAAAAGGGGAAGACGAATCAATGCGTTACACTGCCGCCATATTTTATTTTGACTGTGGCTACCTCTTATTTGACCAAAGTTGACTCTATCCACTGCCAAAAGGTTTTCTTCCCCTGCAGAATCGAAATCCATTCCCCACTTTTTTGCCTTAGCTCTTTTCCCATTGTACCTGGACAGAGGAAAGGTTTGAAGGATTGCCATTTTTAAAATGGACCAGCACCACTCACCTTAATAGCGCATCCGCCATAGTTACAGGTGTAAATCTGGATTAAGAGCCATGACTTGCAACCTGGAAGCTGCGGTTCTGCAAAGGGACCCAGATCTCAATTCAACCTCCTTGCAAAATTGGGGATATAATGGGAACACTGTTGTTGTGAGTTTTCTGGGCTGTATGGCCATGTTCCAGAAGCCTTCTCTCCTGACGTTTCACCTGCATCTATGGCAGGCATCCTCAGAGATTGTGTGGTCTGCTGAAAACTAGGAAAATGGGGCTTATATATCTGTGGAATGATGTTCAGGTTGGGAGAAAGAACTCTTGTCTGTTTGAAATAGGTGTAAATGTTGCAATTTGCCACCTTGATTAGCATTTTATGGCCTTGCAGTTTCAAGGTGTGACTTCTTACTGCCTAGGGGAATCCTTTGTTGGAATAATTATTATGTTATTGTTTTAATTGTTTTTAACTGTTTTTATGATGTTGAGCATTGAATTTTGCTATTGTTAACCGCTTTGAGTCACCCAAGGGCTGAGAAAAGCGGCATATAAATGAAGTAAATATAATAATAATAATAATAATAATAATAATAATAATAATAATATGTATTGTTGAAGGCTTTCATGGCCGGAATCACTGGGTTGTTGTATGTTTTTTCGGGCTATATGGCCATGGTCTAGAGGCATTCTCTCCTGACGTTTCGCCTGCATCTATGGCAAGCATCCTCAGAGGTAGTGAGGTTACCTCTGAGGATGGTTGCCATAGATGCAGGCGAAACGTCAGGGGAGAATGCCTCTAGACATGGCCATATAGCCCAAAAAAACCTACAACAACCCAATAATAATAATAATAATAATAATAATAATAATAATAATAATAATAATCCTGGCAGCCCAAGAACAAGCCATTAGAACAAATGCCATCAAAGTCAGAATTGCAAAGTCGACGACAGATCCCTGCTGTGGACTCTGCAAGGAAGCAGATGAAACAATAGATCACATCCTCAGCTGCTGCAAGGGCAAGCAGACAGACTACAAGCAGAGGCATAACACCGTTGCTCAGATGATTAATTGGAACTTGTGCCACAAATCCCATCTGCCTGTGACAAAGAACTGGTGGGATCACAAGCCGGAAAAAGTTACAGAAAATGAACACGAAAAGCTACACTGGGACTTCCGAATTCAGACTGACAAAGTTTTGGAGCCTAAAACTCCTGACCTCACAATCGTGTTAAAAAACAAAGTATGGATTGTCGATGTTGCAATCCCAGGTGACAGCAAGATTGAAGAGAAACAACTGGAAAGGTCGACACGATATGAGGATTTAAAGATCGAACTGCAAAGACTCTGGCAAAGCCGGTCAAGGTGGTAACAGTGGTGATTGGCACACTGGGTACTGTGCCTCAAGACCTTGGCCTGCACTTAAACACAATCGGCCCTGACAAAATTACCATCTGCCAGCTGCAGAAGGCCACCTTACTGGGATCTGCATAGATTATTTGCTGATACATCACACAGTCCTAGACACTTTGGAAGTGTCTGACTTGTGCTCCAGTACGACAGCCAGCAGAGTGTCTGCTGTGGACTCATCTTGTAGTGTTTCAAATAATAATAATAGCTTTATTTATATACTGCTCTATCTCCCTTAGGGGACTCAAGGCGGTTTCCATGTAACAAAACACCAAAATATACAGAGTAAGCAAAACATAAGCATAAAAATATCAAAACAACACATATACATTAAAAACCAATCTTACCCTATTCTTTTGTGCAAAATTACAAAGGTGATTAGCTGTCCCTGATTGTTCTTGTCTGAAATCCCCTTTTTTTGTGTTGCTCTTTATTTACTGTCCTGATTTTTTAAAATAATGGTAGCCAGATTTTGTTCATTTTTATGGTTTCTTCCTGTTGAAATTAGCCATATTACAGTAATAATAATAATAATAATAATAATAATAATAATAATAATAATACTTTATTTATACCCCGCCACCAAGAAATAGTTTTCTAAGATCTACAGAGACACTTGCTGGAACACCTCAGCAAGCAAGAGTCCAAATGTGGCAGGCTAATACCCAGAACCTCAACCAATGGCTGATACCAAACGAGAGACTCCCTCCTGGACACACAGAAGACTGGGCGACTTGGAAGGCGCTCAACAGACTGCGCTCAAAGTGGAATCCATGTCATGCGAGTGCGGAGAAGAGCAAACCACAGACCACCTGCTGCAATGCACCCTGAGCCCTGCCACATGCACAATGGAGGACCTCCTTGCAGCAACACCAGAGGCACTCCAAGTGGCCAGATACTGGTCAAAGGACATTTAATCAACTACCAAGCTTGCAAACTCTGTTTTGTCTGCTTGTTAAAATCTTGTTTAAAATGTAATACAATTGTCTGGTTGATACTGACACAATAAATAAATAAATAAATAAACCCCGCCACCATCTCCCCAAGGGGACGGGGCGGCTTACACAAGGCCAAGCTCACAACACAGTACATCAATATACAATAAAATACAGCAATAAAATAAAAATAAAATACAAAAGTAAATTATAAATAATAAATCAACAAAATATAACATTTAAGACGGAGGGATAAATCTCAGTGGGCAGTAAGTTAGTAAATAAAGAGCTACAGTCAAGAACAGTCAAGAAACAATCAGGGCCAACTAATCACCTCCCAACAAAGGATTCCCCCAGGCAGTAAGAAGCCAGACCTTGAAACTGCAAGGCCAATAAATGCTAATGTACTCCATAGTTCGGGGGGAGAAGGGCGGGGTATAAAGATAGGAAATAAATAAATAAATAATCGATGTGGTCAATTGAAACATTCACACCTACTTCCAATGGACAAGTATTCTTTCTCCCACTCTGGACATTACACAGATATATAAACCCCATTTTCCTAGTTTCCAACAGACCTCACAACCTCTGAGGATGCAGGCAAAATGTCAGGAGAGAATGCTTCTGGAACATGGCCATACAGCCTTGAAAACTCACAACAACACAGTGAATCTGGCCATGAAAGCCTTCGACAATATAATGGGAACAATTGGTTGACTTTCACGGGAATCAAATGGAAGGTTGTCAGTTAACCAAGATCGAGTGGCTTCTTTCCTTTTTAGGAAAGGAAAAAAAGGTAGAATTTTCGATTGCAGCTTTATAGGGAGATGGTCTTGTTTTTAACTCCTCCTTCTCTGGAACAAGATAGCATCTCAGGGAGCAGACGGAGGTTGCGTTGAGTTCCTCATGTCACTGACACAAATAACATATTATGATACAGGGATGCATTAAAAAGAATACAATTTAAGTCTTTTTCCCATTTGCATTCTGCAGAGATTATCTTCAACTCTTAGTCTTCTTTTGAATCATGTATTATTATTCCAGGC